ACTTGGGCCCTGCATTTCTAAGTACGAGTTAAAGATAAAACATCATCCTTAGATTTAATCTTCTTGATTGTTGTCTGTGTCACCACAACTTTGACACTGTTTAGGCATATTCTTTGTATTAACATGCAGTACATTATAAAAATAAATGACTACCTGTACAAACATACTCTCCCCTATCCCACTCCCCTGCACACACGGCTATTGACTATGTGGGAAAAATTAACAAATTCAAAAAGTATTAACTAGCATCATCTTTAAGTCATTTTCCAAATACTGTGGAATACAAGGTTGTGAAGCACATGCGGTCTGTGAATGTAATTGTGCACACTGCAGCATCTTTCACTTATGTTCTTATGTTTAAGCAACAATCAACACTGCAGTTCCAAAATTTGTACAAGCCTACAAACCTAGTAACTAGTACAGGACTCATTTGACCGAGAAAAGTGTTGCATATTTGTGAACAGGATCTGTACTAGTGCAAATATTGAATGCTACAGTAATCAACTTGCATTAGCATGCATATTCCAGTTAAACAGGTATGCACCAGTACAGATGTTGCATGTCCGAGGTTGAAGTTGGCAGCAAAGCATGTCTTGCATTTTGCCAGCAAAAGTGTGCTCTGTTAGTGTAGAACTTGCATGTTGAAGTGCTAAACATGGATACAGCATGTATCAGTAAGAGCCACAGCTTACCAATCGTGCATGTTCTCAATGAGACCTATAGTAATAACAGGTGAATTTTATATTACAGTAAGAGGTGCAACTGAAAAATGCACAAGTTGCACTACCTGTCCTGCATCGTAGGTGATATCTTTTGCATATGTGTGATTAGTCTCAACATAAAATGTGAACTAGTGCACATCTAGGGAGAAGTAACTTTTCACTTTCCTGCTGCACGGAAAGAGAGCTTAAGTTTTAACGAATTAAGAATATTCTGAGTTTGTGTTTATTGTGTGTAAGTACAGTATTATAAATTCCCTCTACTGGTTCTGAATACGTATATCCTGTAATACAAGAACAGGACCACCAGATAATTAGCAGAACCACCACAGTGAGCTGCAAAGAGCAAATAGGGAGTAACCTCCATAGGACACAGAATGGAGAATTCCTCCCAGGCAACTGGAGTGAAATTCTGGATCCGTTGAAGTCAATGGGAGTTTCGCCATTGACTTCACTGGAGCCAGGATTTCACCTTAGCTCCCTTACAGCAGAAAAGAAAAGCTAGCCTTTGACATGTCTTTCACTGCAATGATACTTTGACTACTCTACAAAATTGAATCATTGTTTGTTTTACAGCAGTGGGGCTCCCTGAATCTGTACTGGAATGGTTTAAATCCTAGTGTCAGTCAAAACTGTTTAGTGTTTCAGAAAGTGGGAGTGAGATGCCACTTTCAGCTATAGTTGATGTTGTTAGTGTAGCCAGGGCTTCAGTCATGCCACACTGCAGACCCTATTTTCATGTTTGATCAGCAATATGCACACTCTGTGTCCTCCCTAGCATGGAATTCTCAAACACTTCAGTAAAATAAAGACAATTAGTAATGTTCTAAATGCATGCATACTACCCGTGTGATCCATTCATTCATTGCTGGAGCCCATGTCCCCCAGTGTCACAAGCTTACAGGATGTCCTGAATGCTAGAGCTTTGATTTAGCTGAAAGCTGAAAATACAGTCACTGGGCCAAATTCAGAGATGATGTATAAGTTTGTAGTGATTTCACATCAATATGTAAGTATAAAGGAGGGCACACAGGGGGGCAAAAGATAATGTAGTGGTGAATACCTACTTTAATTTGCACTCTATTAGTTGCTCTTTCTGCTAAGTGCCTCTGTTCTATCCCCATAGCATCTAAATTATGCTAACCTATGGCTCTGTTACATTCATTCAGATTTAGTTGGACGCCCTTATGCCCACTTACAGATGTGGAACTTGAAATACTTTTTAAAGCACCTCTAAATTTATCCCCTTGTAGTGTCTCTAGGTCAATTTGCTTAAGAAATTAATATACTAACAACTGTGGATGTGCTCTGCTAAATCCTTCTACTTTGGGTCATAATCACAACCTTTTGGGAGAAAACTACCCTCAGGATAACTGAGCAAGGACATGCAGAGTCAGGCAGGTTTTTTTCACATAGATGTGATTCTGTATATAGTAGCTTATTCCAATACACTGCATCTGAAATCAGATTTAACATGCTGTTCATTCTGAACTGGAGTTAATGCATTTTGATGGTTCATAGAAATGAATCCATGACTAGCTAGAATGTCTAAAATTATTTTACTAAGTTGTGTATATTGTAATAAAAAATAGTCAAAATCATATGGGTTATATAGTCCTAAAGAGCTATCTCAACTCCAGTACAAAAAAACTATGCAGCTCTTTTGTGACATTGAGTGCTTTGTTTGACCAAGAAGAGTTAGATTGAGCTATACATAGTGGATACAAAAGCAGATGTATACAGAACTGCATTAACAACTCATTCCCTCCCTAATGATGACTGGGACCCCAAACTCTCTCCCTTGAAGCTAGGTTCATTACTAAGCATCTTGATAAAGCCTTGACAGTGTGATAGCCTAGATCAATTCTGGATGTCTGCAGTTGTTCATTTAGTCACTTCAAGGAAGCCTCGGTGAAGTGACATAGCAAGAGTATGTTAGCCAAGTAGCGGCCTTAATGGGTTTCTAGGCATGACACAAGTCATTTAATTTGTTTAGTTTTAAATTTCCCATACTTTCATAGTTTTACTTAACTAATGTACTACAGCTTTGTAAATAAGCACCTAGATCCCATGGTGATAGGTGCTACATAAATCTATGAATGCACTTCCATTTCTAAAGTTCTTGCAACTGTAGCATCTGAATGCTCTTTACAGAGTTAGTACTCCATGGAGAGACTGTGTCCCTGACTGGGGATTATGAAGATACACATAAATATATCCTACAAGTAAGCAGACTATGCAGATGCTGACAGTGAGACTGAGACAATAAGTTGAAGTAATGTATCTGCTTACACTGATGCCAGTATAAATTCTACTAATCTAAGGTACTGGATAAATTAAGTAGAACTTTACCATGGAAGTCTGGAATAAATCTGTTCTCCCCACAATGCTGGATGTAGCAGCATCTGCCCATGTTCAGTGAAAAAGGGGCAGCATAGAAAGTGCATTTTGCTCAAATTATCTGGTACATGAGGCAGCAGCAGAAAAGCAGTTGATGAAAAGCAGTCCTAAAAGACAATTAATTAGATAAGACGATTTGATAGTAGAATGAATTTGGGTATTAAATAAAGATGTCCAGAAATGGGTTGCGAAAGGTGAATTCTTCCTTCTGAATGAGTTTTTTCTCCCCTTCCCTGGCTCCCAATTGTTTACTGTATCAGGAGGTTCTTTCTTATTGATACTCCTGAGTTTTCTTAAGGTGATGGCTACTTCATAGTGGAAGTTGTAGTGAGGGATCCCTTTGACTTTTGCCTGTTGAAATTCTTTTGGAATAGAAATGTTATAGAGGGCCTTTTTATTGTTTCAGAGTGAAAGAATTGAAAAAGGCCAAGGAACCTGAAGATACACAGCAGCATCCCGTAGCAATGTGACATTGCTTTTCAGACTGTTTTCATTTTCTGTTTTTAGCAGAGACATGCAACAACAACAAAAAACCCACTGCAGTTCTGGGAATCTCAGCTGCAGGATTTTAACAGTAATGTTTTGGTCATTGCATTTGCACTTTCATGGACAACTTTTAATTTGTTCAGCAAGACATCTTGGAACTCAATCTTCTGTTGGATCATGGGAAAAAAGACACCAGGAGGAATTTGTGAGTTGCTTCATTCTCTCCAAAAGAAGCGATTAATTATCCTTTTCATATAGGGCTGTATTAAAACGTGTGGAACTGTACAAATATTATACCAAAAATATTGTTAAGAAAAGGTGGGAATGCACAAGCAACACAAGAATGCTATTCCTGCACCTGTCAATCATCTCCAAGAAACTGAAGCTTCAAGAGTCAGTGGAGGGGCTTAGATCAGTAAATCTTTATTGGGTACATGCATTCTCATTTCCTTTGCACTTCTGTCTTTTCTTTTTATTTGAATCTCTCTACAGCACACTTAATGCAACTTTTTAAATCTGCAGGTTTTTAATACATCCCCTGGAAATTTACAGAGTGGGTTGGCATATGAGGCAAACGGGTAATGCATGGGAAATAAAGAGAGCAGCTTGAGCAAGTTTTTAAAAGTTCCTTTTTTGGTATTTTTTCTAGAACCTGCAAGTATTTCAAGTGTCATGTACTTATTCTCATATTCAGCACTTTATTTTCTGGCCTTACTTTTAATTATTTACTTAAAATAGTTTGTAACGTATGTAGCGCTCTTTTTTTTAAAACAGTAATTTTGTTGTTCTGAGCAGTCACGTACATATGTTGCCTGGACATTTATACCACCTAAAGATCAGAGTGGTGCTCCATCCTGGCCAGTAAATTTCTTATTTTGGCTATTTCATCAAAATCTGGGCAGTTTCTGTATATATAGAAGGTAGAAATGGAAAATGAGAAATAATATTTGAAAGGGAATATATTGATTAATTACTAAATATTTTATTCACAAAGGGTCAATAACTTGGCAAGATAAAATTATTATTTGTATAGTTTTGTCTGAATGAGCGAAAAGAGTGTGGATGTATTGTTTGTACATATTGTATATATTAAAACAGAGATATGTGCATGAATTCAAGAAAAAAGAAATGAAAAAAGCAAAGCATTAGTGGCTATGGTCTGTAAAATGAAACAAAAACTTTATTTCACTATAAGAAACTTTATTTTAAATGTTCATTAGAAGAACATTTTGCTAAAGCATGACTAAACTGCAAAAAAAAAAAGAGCTACTGTATTTAGACTTAGGAAAAAAGGCAGAGTAACTTTACTAAAAAAGGATATGTTTACATTTGATTTTGGCTACCAGGAGGTTTTTTTTATTTTATTTTATTTTAATTTTTTGCCAATGGTGCCAAGTAATGTGAATGCTAATATTGCTTAAGAAAATTAAGTTACTTTTGCAAAGCAGATAATCATAAGAATACAAAAACGTATCTAGCTTAACACCATACACTCACTCCAATAAAGAACACTTAGAATGAACATAAACTGAAAAAAGAAATAGTATGAAAGTAGAAAATATGTTTCACATTTTCATATCTCCTGCTGGAAGTCAGAAAATGTAATAAAAATGCACAAAAATTTTAAAAAATAAAAAGTAAAACTTAAAAGATGCAAACTGGTCTTGTAGGGGTGTCATGGTATATTGCTATTTCCACATAGTGAGGAGCCAAAGAAATCAGGTACTTTTAAAATTGAAATACTAATTAAAAATTGTCATGAAGTTTAGACAATAGGGGCCTGATCTTAATTACACTAGTATATATCAGGAGTAAATCTCCTGAAGTCAGTGCAGTTACTCTGGATTTACACAAGTGTAGCTGAAATCAGAAATTGCTTCTGTGACTTTATGTTGCTAGTACCAGTTTAAAATTTCCAAATGGTTGGTGTAAATTTTACATGGTTAGTTTTGGAATAGTTGCTCTTACTTGATCCTGGCCACCAACTAAAATGTTTAAACTCCAGGCTTTTGTGAAGCCTAAAAATATTCACAAATGAGAAGCTTTTAAACTGGTGTCTTTAAAAGAAGGGTAAACACAAAGATTGTGGCAAAAAACTGGGGTCAGTGCTCTTGGTGCCTTTTCTATAATTGTACCTGGTTTTTAATTACTTCCTTTCACTGCCAGCATTGAATTACAATATATGTGCTATATAGCTCTTTATCAGAACTCTGTACATTTGTGAACTGCTGCTTTATGACCTGATTCAATAAAAAAAAATTGTCTGGCTCCCACACTGTGGCTGTGGCAGCCTCATAATCTCCATATATTTTATTGAAATGGAACCTTATACATTAACTATTCCACACACAAATAATGGGAACAGAATTCGAAAATAAACTCCTTTGGAATGAACTGGAATGCTCTGTATTAATACTGGAAATACTCTGACATTTTGAAATATAAATGTTTGTCCCATTGACTGGCATTATGACAAATATAATTGATCTTTTCCTAACAAGAGTAATGACCTCAGTGGAAACATTTTAACCCCTTATATTTGTACTTAAATTTTCAGTAAAATACAGAGCTATTTCAAGTTACCCTTCCAGATCCATGGGCCTGGTGGTGTATCTACTGATAAAGACCTTGATACAGCAAAATATTTACACTCATGCTTAATGTTAGCCATATGAGTAGTTCTTTAACTTAATGGGACTACTCACATGCTTAAAGTTAAGTATATCCTTAAGTACTTTGCTGAACACGGTTGTAACCTTTCAGTGAATGTGACCACTAAAAATGCTCCCCCATCGAAAAAGCTTTTTTGCTTACCCCTTTCTTGACTGCGGAACTTATTTCTGATAGAAGATAACGTAAGTGCAGCTTTCTTGGATAATCGGGATTCCCAAGTGCCAGGAGCAGGACCTTCTTCTGCCTCCTGAATATGGAATTGCTCCTTCGTGTAACACGTTTGACATAAGTAATACTGTGTGAAAGAAATAAAGACTATAACATGACCTCCCTATGTGGTTGCACGCTTACAGCAGTTCCACACAGTAGTTGGTGCCCAACAGGGGGTCCCCAGGACTTGCATGTAAAATTAGTATAGGTGTCTCTTTTTTGTAAGTTTTATTTTTGTAACTGTGCATGTAAAGCATCACTGGATCAATGGATCTGTTGAAGAACTCAGCTGCTGGAACCATGCAAAATGTTTTGAATTGCCCTTAAAATATGGAAAATGTTTTCTGAATGCTTTATATTCTTTCTGCTGTAAATTAAAAACAAAAAATTTCCCCATACTAAGTGTATTTCTTTTAACATTTTCTCTTCCATTTTAATCAAGAAGGAGCTGAAGATTCCTCAAGTAATTATATATATCATTGTAAAGTATGGATCTGTGTCACACATTTAGAAGACCTACTTGTAAACTCACATAGTCTCTTAACTGACTGAATTTCAAAGGCAGGCATAATTTTTTAAAACAAATTCTGCTTCTAGTGTGTGTACAACTCCCATTGGACTCAATGGGATCCATGTACTCATGTGAGAGGAGAATGTGGTCCTTAAAATCTATAGTTAACAACTATTTCAAAAGAGGGAAGCTAGGAAATAGGAAACACATTTATCTAATCAAAATTATCAACAAGAGTGAAAAACTTGAAGTCACTTGGACCTCTCAGCCTGGGTACTGATGATGTACAAGAGTCACAGGCCTGACTCTTTTCTGTGGTTTTAATGTATGCTCTTCATCAGGCATATTTCATAGAAGGGACCAAAATAATTTCTAGACCACATCTTTTAGAAAAACATCCAATCTTGATTTTAAAATGGTCAGAGATGGAGAATCCACCACAACCCTTAGTAAATTGTTCCAGAACACCAGTACATTTCAGAGCTATATTTGCACTTCAAGTAGTAAAACTGACTTAGCCTTCAGATTCGGGCCTTCATGATAACCCCAAAGTATATTATAATTACTCAGAAATGCACTGCCTATCACAGCTTATTGTTTTAGTTTAAGATGTTCGAAGTTCAGCTCAGAGACTCTCATCATAGTGTTCTGCACCTACCACATGGGAGACTCAGGTACGACTCAGTGGTTCCGGCGTCTTGCTTCTGCGTCTGGCAGCAGGAGGCAAATGCTATGTGAGGCTCCTTTTCCCTTTTTTTCTTTCCTTATCCCAGGGGAAAAGAAATGTTCTTATGACAGTTAAACCAGATTTTACAGCAGAAAGGTAACCAGTTTCTCTGACCCTGGGCTCCCCTCTTGTTCACGTCGCAAATGACAATTTTTAGCAAGGTGGATGCAATTCACAGAAGCTTAGAAAATCCAACTGTATTTAAATTGGTGGGGCAAATTCGTCCCCTCTCTAGCTCAGTGGTGGGCAACCTGCGGTCCATATGGGTAATGCGGCCACTGGGAGCTGCGGGCAGCAATGTAAACACTGTCTCGTGGCCCGCCAGTGGATTTCCCGGATGGGCCATGTGCGGGCCACAGGTTGCCCACTACTGCTCTAGCTCCTCTAAAGCTAATAAAATTCAGCGGAGCTTTATGCTGAGATTAGAATCTGTCATAATTTATTTTAAATACTTCACGAAATGCCTGGAATAGATCATCATACAAATACATTTGTGAATTATTTGACCAAACGTGTAAGATGACAGAATACCAGTAAAAAAGATGTCTAATAATGTTTTTGGAAAATAACTCAAAATTGAGCAAATAAATTATTCAGCTTATATTATGATAAATTCCACTAGGGATGAATTTGGCCATTTTTCCCCGAGTATCAGAGTCGTACTGAGAAGTGCAATTCTGTGTGCACTTACAAAATGCTGACCAGGGGAATAGTGAGTTTTCCATTAAACAACAGTGCTCCTCAGAAAAAAGCAATGAAATGTTATATCCAGGAAGATTATAAATGTACAATTTTTATAACTGAATAAAATTAAACAGAAAAAAGTAGAACACCACAAGAAAGTAGGAAGAAATATTTGACCAGCACTTATCCCAATCCTGATTGAGACCTCTAGACACAACTGTAACACAAATATATAATACAATATATTTCATCTAGCTATTTTCAACTTTCTGAGAGCACAATACTTTATGTACTTCTTAAATAAGGTAGTCTCTGCCCTCACAGAAAGTAAGTCCCAAGTTTCCAACAGAATCTATGAGGCAGTGTCTAATAAATTCCAAAACTCTACATAGAGGGACAGAATAAAAAGTAATTTTAAAAGTTCCATGAGGCCTTTAGAAACAAAATCCAAAAAATCTGAATACTGCGTACAGATGTGGTCTCCTCACACCAAAAAAGATATACTGGCATTAGAAAAGGTTAAGAGAAGGGCAACTAAAATGATTAGGGGTTTGGAACGGGTCCTATATGAGGAGAGATTAAAGAGGCTAGGAATTTTCAGCTTGGAAAAGAGGAGACTAAGGGGGGATATGATAGAGGTACATAAAATCATGAGTGATGTGGAGAAAGTGAATAAGGAAAAGTTATTTACTTGTTCCCATAATATAAGAACTAGGGCCACCAAATGAAATTAATGGGCAGCAGGTTTAAAACAAATAAAAGAAAGTTCTTCATCACACAGCGCACAGTCAACTTGTGGAACTCCTTGCCTGAGAAGGTTGTGAAGGCTATAACAGGGTTTAAAAGCGAACTGGATAAATTCATTGAGGTTAAGTCCATTAATGGCTATTAGCCAGAATGGGTAAGGAATGGTGTCCCTAGCCTCTGTTTGTCAGAGGGTGAAGATGGATGGCAGGAGAGAGATCACTTGATCATCACCTGTTAGGTTCATTCCCTCTGGGGCACCTGGCATTGGCCACTGTCAGTAGACAGGATACTGGGCTGGATGGACCTTTGGTCTGACCCAGTATGGCCATTCTTATGTTCTTAAGTCACACTTAATAACAATGCAGAATTAATTTCTGGTTAATGCATTTAACAGGCATATAAATGGCTTTGAACCAGAGCTGGATACTGTTGTAATATAGTAAATAATTTGTCCTGTCTTTATAAAGCTATTAGAGCACACACACACACACGAAATCTATCTGTTGTGTAAAAGTGTGTGTCATTAATTTCATGATTAACCCATTCAACATATGATAGTAATCAGAGTAAGAACAGTTCCAGGTCAGAGTGTGGCATTTGGATTCTACATTTACCCTAAATTTGCCAACCACCATAGGGGGAATGCAGGGTCCAGTCATGTGTCCATTATAGTAAAGAAAGCTTTGCCATTAACATCACCAAAAACAGGAGCAGGCCCTTAATGATGCAGTGAATGGGACTTAGGCACCTTTGAACATTTTACCCCATTACAATCCATATCCAGCACAAAAATGTAGAGGTCAATAATAAAAGCTACCATTAGTTTGTCCCAGAAAGTGAGTGAGTTAAAGTCCCAGCCTCATCCCTCACTTCCTGAGCTGACAGTCTGGGTTCACTCTGGGGAATTGCACAGTCAAGCTCATGAGTGGTAGCTGGACTCCCTTAGTCAGCACCCACCAATTTTTTGAGGTAGTGGCCTGAAGTTGAGGGATGCCACACGCCCTTCAGCTAGAATCAGAATTTGATTTTATGTTGCTATTTGCCTATTGCGGTTAGCTCCAAAACACTTTAGAAAGTCAGTGACAAAACAGGAGTGTATCAGCAACTTGCCTGGCTATGCTCCAGATTTTGTGTGTCATTTCACCTGTCTGTCCCTTAGCCTCTTCAGCTATAAAACAAGGGTGATAATACTATGCAATGGGGGTGTTGAAGCTTACTCAATTAGGTATAAAGCACTTTTGGATCCCCAGATAGAAGGTAGACAGGAAACAAAAAAATCTTTGCTTACTCATGCTGTGCACTAGCCTTCTCTATGGAACTGTTCTCTTACTGATGTTGCCCCATCCTTCCTCCTCTACCATTCTCTTATTAACATCTCCTTGTGTCATGTTAAAAATTAGTCTGTAAGCTCCTTGGGGCAGGAATCATATCTTTTGACTGAATTAGGAGGTGCCTAGTACACTAGTAGGTGCTGTCAAAATAAATAATGGCGATTCTGTGCTCAGCCAATCTCTCAGCCTCATATAATACCTAGAATATTAGCTTTCTTGAGTGAAGAATTAGGGGCCAGTATCCCAGAGTTATCACTTACTCTTTCTAAAAAAATGACTGAACAAACCAGCTCAAATAGACAACAACAAAAAAGCACCCACCTTGCTTTACTGTCTGTTTTAAATAACCTAATAATGAAAAGCTTACAGTGAAGTCAAAAGCTTGATAGAATGCAAAAAAAAAAAAAACTGATAAAAGAGCATGGAAAATCCTGAAGTTATATGTTTCAGGGATCACAGAATCAGAGAAATGTAGGACTGGAAAGGACCTCGAGAAGTCATCAAGTCCAGTCCCCTGCGTTGTGGCAGGACCAAGTAAATCTTCTAGACCATCCCTGACAGATGTTTCCAGATGTTTACCCTAATAGTCAGAAAGTTTTTCCTAACATCTAATCTAAATCTCCTTTGCTGCAAACTAAGCCCATTACTTTTTGTCCTACCTTCAGTGGAGCTGGAGATTGATTACTGTCCTCTTTATAGCATGCCGTAATATACTGGAAGCCTATTACCAGGTTTCTCCCCCCCCCCCCCCCCCCCCGCCAGTCTTCTTTTCTCAAGACTAAACGTGCCCAGTTGCTGTTTTTTTTAATCCTTTTCTAATAGGGGAGGTTTTCTAAACCTTTTATCGTTTTTGTTGCTGTCCTCTGGATGCTTTCCAGTTTTGTCCACATCTTTCCTAAACTATAGTGCCCAGAATTGGACACAATACTCCAACTGGGGCCTCAGCAGTGCTGAGTAGAGCGGGAAAATTACCTCCTGTATCTTACATACAACACTCCTGTTAATACACCCCAGAATCATATTAGCCTTTTTGCAGCTGGATCATATTGACAACATATTCAGTTTGTGGTCCAGTATAACCCCCAGATCCTTTTCAGCAATACTGCCACCTAGACAGTTATTCCCCATTTTGTAGTTGTGCACATAGGATAGGATGTGCTCTTAGAATGTAAAAGTCTTCTTTTGACTGCAACCAGGATTGAAATCCTGTCAGCACCCTTTCTTGTAAGGCGAGTGATTTCTCAGTTACATGAACTGGGATGAATCTTAGTCCAGTAGGCTAGCCTAGCATTTATAGGCACATCCAATCATTTAGAATGACTAAATAAATAGATACAGTAGATCAAGAGAAGAGTTAGCTTTGAATTAGGCAGTTGGCAAAGAATAATTCATATGATGAATTAACACAGTGGGAAAGCTTCAGCCAGTAGCCTGGAATGAAGACAGATGCCTACCTACAGCACAAGCATCATGAACAATCTCTTCATTTGCTGTTTTGAGAAGATTCAGGTCAGGAGAGAAAATTCTGTTGTTGTGACTCGTCAGTAAATTAACAGTTGTTACCAGTGCTTTCTGTAGAGGCATGTCCACTAGCAGCTGCCGTACTGGGAGAGGATGGAGTCTGGGCCTGACTGCTGGAAATAAGAGAGGTAAGAGAATGGTTTAGGCATCAGCATGATGTAAGGTTCAGATGCATAGCTGTGCAAAGGCCAATGTCACTGTAGCATAACTCTGTCCCCCTCTATGCCCATGAGGCCTCACTCCATCCGTTGGCACTTCCTAGTAGCCACTCCTCAGAAATGACCTGGATCAGCTGGATGGAAGATGTCAAGCCTGGCCTCCGGTAGCAGGTATGGAGGGATTCAGGTTGCTCTGCTGTGGCTCTCAGTCCCCCCTCCCCACCATCCAGAGTAACTTTTATAGCCCTAGGCAAAAGCCATTTATGGATTATGGAGACTGCCCGATAGGCCAAGCACCCAGAGAATGCTGAGAGGAGGCAATAGGTGCGACATGGCACTTTGGAGCTAACTCAGTATGGATTTATTTTCAGAGCGCCAGAGT